ACGTCTTGGCGGAACGCGCGAACATTAAGGGCTTATAAGGAACATACGTGGCACGTGATTGTATGTTGTTTCCAATAAAACATTGTTGTTTTGTATATTACTGGATTCCGATTCTTTCTAATTCTAAGGTGTTATCCTCTTTATGTTTTCTATCTCCTCTCTGTCGCTATCTGCAGATAATCTAAAATGATAGTAATACATATATCAGTATGTGCGTTAAAAACTATAATTAAAATTTTAGAATTCCTTAAAATATATTAAGATATAATTAAAGATGTAAATAACTGAAGCTGAAAATACGTTTAAAAATAAATTATCCATTTTATCATGTTGCAATATTTGTAATTTTTACTATATATCATAATAATTAACAATTTATTTAGAAGCGAGAAACATATGTAGTACGCATCAAATTTCATTGCTATTAAACGCATTTCTTAATATAAACTCTATTTTTTATGTTAAATTCACTTTAATATTTTCTTTGCACATATTTATTTGTAACAACCTATAGTTATAGATAAATTTACAAAAATTTATGCGAATATCGCTCAATTTGCCTTCAAATTATTATTATCAGTAACAGAAATTGTAGATACGGGCTTTTTTGGTTCATCAGTCGTCGATAAAGAAACGAACGTGTAACAAAAGTTTGCGTTTACTGATTTTGCAGAAATTTAACCAGTAGTAACGATTGCTGATAATGATTCAAATAATGAAATGCATCATGGAAAATTATATATCTGTTGTTCTAATAAAGATATTGATTTTGAGAAATTATTTTTAAATCTTCATAAAAAATTTTTATAAATGTCTTCTGATTTATAAAATAGATTTCTATTTAAACTATAAATAATATGTTCAATTGTAAAAAACCTAATCTAATGTATAGAATAATTTATATGTATTTCATATATCGTGAATAGATTATGAAATTAATGTCTGAAATTGCAAAAAAATTATTATATACATTATTAATTTACGTTATACAACTGTATGTACTCGTATGTATCTCTTTCTCATCTAATACATTATTCAAAATGGGAAAATTAAATTCATGAAGAGGACAATATATAAAACATTTCTTATCGAATGAAGTAGATGTGTGTGACTTCAGCGATCGTAATTTGCACGACTACCGGTTTACATAAAATAAAACCAGAAATTTGTTGATCGCGTAAATTTAGATTGCTCCGTAATTTATGTTAGATTTGGAAATAATGTTAGCACATTCTTTTCTCAATCGCGAATCCGTTCCACAATCTAAACGGTAGAGGTGAAATCGCGAGAAGAATCGCGCAATGGAAGATCACCCAATAAATATCTGGAAACCTGGACACACTGGGCACAGTGGCCGCAACGTTAAAGATTTCGCGCGTATCGCATTACGACAGATCCGCGTCATAAAGAACGAGAGCGGTCCCGGTGTTGCATCGAATGCGTTGTTGCGCACTGTTTACGGCCCCCCACGGAACCCCGTCGCTTCTCCGGTGAATCTGCATTTATTGCCGTCTAAATAAAGTGCCGCGGCATAAATTGCTTGTTATAGTGGACGGGCCGGCGGCGCAAATAAAACGAATCTAAATGTATACCTAAAGTGTGACGCGCCTCGTTCCTTTTTATCTGTTTTATACATATATCCGCGTAAAACGGTCGAACGAGGGTCGAGATGGGGATGATTAGCCGGCGAATTCACTCGGCCAATGTAAATAAGACCATTGAAATGCAAAAAATGTTTATCCGATGCGCGCGAACGACTATGCTGTATAAATGTTATCACGTGTGTTTTCAACCTTCATGTAAAATAAATAAAAAGAAAGAAAAAACATATCGGAAATCCACTTTGCGTAATCGCAATAATTGCAAAGTTATAATATAAGAATTCATTATCACAGATTCTCTTTTCAATTTATTTTGGCTTATCTGCTATTTATATTTTTGTATACAAAGAGAACACTGAATTTTTATGTACAGTCATTAATCGTGACGTATATAATATACATTGTGATGTGCCAAGCATTATAATTTTATCAAAGAAAATTAAAGAGTTGACAGAATTATCTATTTTATCCAATTGCAATATTTTACTTTATGTAATGTTCTACCTGTACCTGTATATCAATGATACGGGTTTTATTTTATTGACCCTTCTCTTACCTGCCTTCCAAACCCAACGACCCTTTCAACCATTTCTATTTTTTTCTCCCTTCGAATTCTCCTCTCATTCTCTCGAGGATACTGTTGTTTCCCAGAGATGGCGAAAAATCGACAGAACTACTAATTGGTTCTGCCAATCCAGACAAAGAAGTGGAATGCCCAGATGGCAATGGGGCTCCGGTGGAAATGCGACTCGTGTCGGCCAGAAAGATTGCACGGCGATGGAACATCACTCTGTAATTTCCATTAAAGCAACTCCAACTCTCTCTTTTCTTTGTTAATTAATAGAAATTAATAACGTCACAATATTTTTTTTTCGTTATTTGTCGTCAAGACGAGATTAATTCTAAACGTGTATATTGTTGCATAGAATCTAAAAATTATTTATTGTACATTAATTTGTTGACTTGTCATATGATATAAGAGAGATAGCATATCCCTTGCAAAAAGTTATAATATTTGATATTTAATTCTTTTTGTAATAAAACGTAATAGATTTTCACTCTATATAGAAAAGATCAGAAAAATAATAAAGACAAAACTGAATATTTTCCGTAAAATGCACTTAATAAATCTTTATAATTAAAAAGTATGAATCTTCATTATCAATAATATATATATCAAAAGTTCAACAGAATATAAAATAATAAGTCAGAAAAATTTGTATAACAATTAGATCGTGTCCATTAATTATTAAAATAATTAAAATAATTATCCCTTTTAATTTAATGTGCATAACGTGTAATAATAATAAATTTTATATCATATTTTCCAATTTTCTCATTCAATATAAATAATTTACAAATACCAATATTTTACTGTCGTAATTCCGGAAATACAACAGTAATATTTAGCGTTGAATTTATGAGAAAATGTGATAAACGAATTAATTAATTAACGAAACAAATGATACACAATCCAGTACCAGATTTTACAAATTAAATTTAATATAAAAGTGCATATAAATGTTGCAAATGTGTGTAAATGTACAATTTTAACAAAGACAAAAAAAGGGAAAGTTTAAACTTAAATTAATAATTGGATTCACTGAAATGATATATTTTAATGGAATATAATAAAACGCGCTTGAATGTGTGATAGAAAACACAAGCGACAGAAGACTATATGTCAGAGATTTTATTATTTTATATTAGCGCTAAATAATGCCATGTACAACGCCGTTCTCTATAATTTCTGACGGCGAATACATAGAATACATAGAGTACAATGAACCGTCTTTTCATTTGCCATGAAGGCTAACTATTGTCCAAACGAGATCTATCACGATGTTCATTTATACTGCGACCTAATTAACGCAAATCGTGACCGTTATGATCTCGAACGAGCCATATTTTCATTCATCCATCATATAGCTTGTATTCAATTATATTACAAAAGTAAAGAAGATTCCACGTCCATGCTAAAACATGCTAAAAAAAGATTCTAAGGAATAAAAAATTCGAAATTTTTTGATTACAGACTTTGAAGTTCAAATTCTTTTTTTAAATTACAAAATCGAAAAGTTCAAAATTCAGATATGGCAAGAATTCCATTATTTTGCAGGGTATCTAAAAGTTCAAAATTTAAATCTGGAAAGCATGAATTAAGATTACTCTCGAAATCACATATCTATGATTTCGGGAATCCTAATCTTTAATCCTATACAAATTTGATACTAAATATATGTTAACAGTCATTTATTCTATCTGAAATTTTAAATAATACGAAAAACTACAAAAATAAATGGACAAATCCGATAATCTTAATTAGTCTATTAATTTTATAAGTGATCAAAATTATCAATAACGGTTACAGTCGCTATTCGTAAAATGTTATACTGAGGAATCTGGCAATGTCGCAGTAATTGAACAACTGCACTTCTTAATACCAAACATAAAGCATCACGAGAGAATCTTTTGGTTTTATTCATCCTAGTACAACGTTACTTGTAGCAATCACTATCTAGTGTGCGGCGTAAATATATACAGTTTACATATGTATATATATACATGTATATTACGTACGGTGTTGGCATAAAGGTGTTAAAATACAAGAAATTAAAGTAAGGTGGAGTTTAACACACATTCGTGAAATTAGTAAATGTTGAAAAAAATCCATTTGACTTAATTAACTTATTATTTCGTAAAATTGACAAATTGAGTCAATCATTCCTTCAATCATTAAATAATCATCTAATTTGATTTAATAATAAAGATATATCTGCAAGAATACACGCGTAATCAAAATTTTTTACTCATATATTGACTAATCTATCTAAAAATTAACGAATTATGCTTGAATTTCTAGAATACGTATATTAATCTATGTTTCATTATAGAGAATTACTTGATCGAGATATTTGATATCACCATAGCGCCAGAAATTTTCAATTTTGCCATAATCGAAGAATCGATAGGTAATCGCTTGTGACATAGATTATAACAATTTGGCATTATATAATAATAAATTTATGCAAACATACAAATAATTTATGACAATGTCAGTATACGTATATTAACAATGTCATTTTTATAATTTTTTTATTTCGAATTAACAAAATAGCAATGTCTGTAGTACAGCGAATATTAAAGCTAATCGATCCTTCGTCTGGACGTAAATAAAAATTTTACGCGTCGATCTGTAAAATTTTATGCAGTGACTCGTACAGACCTCTAATAAGTAGAGATATAACTAGATTTTTAAAAAGATATGATAATAAAAAATATATATAATAAATTGTTTGTTACGTATCTCTCTCTAGTAATTTATATATAAAAAAGATATGTATAAAATATATATACGTATATACGTTTACTAATATAACATGTAAAAAATTTTTTATAGTTTATGCTTTCTTTTTTTAAAAATAGAAATATCTATTGGCCTTTAAATTTAAAACAAAACTTTTTAAATACATAAGGATCTAGATACATTGCATAATCTAATATGTCAAGCACTCTGCCTCTGTACGAAGGACGAACGAATCGTTTTTATCGTCCGACAATGCGGATTTATCCAACGCTCGGTTTGTCGCCTGGTGATTCTTTTACGAAAAGAACTGACTGAACTGGGTGTAGTTTTGCGCACACACACGTGAATTCTGGACGTGCGAAACGTGACAACGGTAGCGGCCGACTAATCACGCGTCGTTTTCAGTCCGAGCGCACATGTCACGTCAAGTCTCTCTCTCTACCTTGCTAAGTCCACTGAAACGAACGGACGGCCGATGAGAACGTCACACGCAGTTTCCTCGAGAATCACCTTGAGGACACGCTGCAAATCGGTGATTTGCACACGAATATTCCCGCGCGTTTAGTCTCTCCCTCCGGCCTCTCTCGCAAATTGATCACTGCACTTCACAGACGAAGAAAGTCTCGAAGCTGCAGGGACTGTCATTCCATTTGAGCCCTTTGCCATCCCTGTTCCAAAGCTCCAGGCAATGCTCCTCCTCGCCGTTCTCGTATCTGAAAGGTAAATGAGGACACTCGATGAAATTCGCATTATTTCTGTTAAATGACAAAATGCATGAGAAAGTAAGTTATTTAATAACCTTGATTAAAAAATAAAATTGCATTGTAAATTAATGTACAAGATACATAATATAATAAATGTTTCTTATTTTTTGGGTATTTCTCAGTACAAATTAACAAATACAAATATAAATGATACATGATATTAAATTAAAACAACTCACGATATCCATTATTTAAAATGTTGAGGAATCGTTATCATCAAGTATTAAAATCTCTTCAAAATCATCGAAATTGAATTTCTTTCTTCATTAAAGAGCCCATTAAGAATGAACCAGTACCTTTCACCGGAAACGAACTCTAATACCTCAATAATCGATTTTACCATTACGATACGACGCCAATCGTATCGTAATGGTATAGGACGGATGAAATTTACGCGATCGATATCAAAAGGAATGTAAATTGTTTGCGATCGTAAGGCACCCTTACCGGAAATTATTTGGCTCGCCGACGTTCCAGTTCTCGAACGTGATCGGCCTACCATTAGCCATCCAGAAAAAAGTCCCCTCCTCGGCCTGGTCGGTGCCAGAGGTCCAAAAATGCTCGTGACCCAGACCGAAGTCCTTGATATGCTTCTCAAGTCTATCGTTCTCCTCTTGCGAGGCTATACTCGCCAGATGCATCCCGTGATAACGACAGTATTGCGAGGCTCTGTACCAGTTTGCCTGCGATGTAAAAATGGGATATTTTTGACCCTGATATTTTATCCTAACGTTTCCTTTTCGGCAAAACGCGATCAATTATGCGGGACGTTCCGCAAAGAAGAACTGATGTATTGTCATAATAATTCATTACATTTACACAAATATTGATCTAAATCAAATATTTGCAATAAAATATCTAGTACTGTGCAAATAATTTATAAATCATTTATGATGCTAAATAATGAACTAAATTGTCATAAATAGCAATTATGTAAAAAAGAATATATGAGAGAGGAATGTTATCTAAAGCAATATGATCTGAATTATGTATTAAACACTATGACAATAATTATACACGGCAAAGAGAAACGCTTGAACTATTGATAAATTATCTGTAATTAAATCATGGTGGAGATAAGCTGTCCTTAATATTCACATATAACATATGTGATCGTCGTTGATTATAACAGATTGGTCGGTATTAATAATTATAATTAATAGCATACAGATTGTAGGAGCACATTAATATTCACACTAAAGTTACATGATCATCATTCTGATATCGATTTCGACAGATCATATTCGAGAATCTGTTTGGAATATTATTGATCTATTACTATAATAAAATCTTCGCTGTGTTAATAATACAAATTACAATTATTACATTAAAGTATGGAAAGTAAGTAACAGAATTAATTTTTCTCATAAATAATCAAATGCTAATAGCATTGTGGTATAATTCGATCATTAAACGTAAATATTTTCTTTCAGATAAACTAGATTACACTAAGAATTCTGAACATAAGAGAAAAGACATGCTAAGAACGATGTTTTTAAAATAAACATTATTTTAAATTGGAATAGAAATATTATTATTTAAGAGAACAGAAATCCTTCTTTCTCAATAAATTCAAATTTCCAGTAACAGATAAAAACATTTCGAACCTTTTAAATGTTCTAAATTTAAGATTGAATTTTCATCGCTTTCTAAAACAGTCACGTACGTATATTTTACGTTCAGCCAAGTGAAATTATCAACTCAGTACTGTTTAACTTGCCTCGGGCTGTTTATAACAGCACAGATATTTTTATTAATAACCTGCGTATATCGCAATATTTTATGCGCTCGAGAGAAACCCGACGTACGTTTAGCAAATTTGTACTCGTATTTCGGTATCTCAATATTACACAACATTTCGACTGTGTTTGTAACTTCGGTCATTCGCACTGCATTATATGTGATTTTTACGACCGCGGTACGTTGCAGAAGCGCGAACGCCGCTGGCGTTCATCGGCTTTCTTTACGATTAGTTCTTTACGATCGTTACGAACTTCCTCGCGGCGTTTCGTCGCATTCGCGCGTATAACCGCTACGAGCGATCATTTAAGTGCAAAGTTGGTTCTAGGCCATCACACGTGCCATCTCCAAGTGCCATCTATTGGAGCAGCAATCCTTGCAGATAATGCAACGCATTATGCGACAATGCAACGCATTTTTCCTCGCAAAATAATGAATAATCGCGAAATCGGGGCTGCGACGAAAAGTCACAGAACGTAGTCGCTGCGCGGCTCTATTCAAAGTGATCTTCAAAGTTTCTTATCAGTATAATTAGGACACACAATACACATTTACCGAGAGACTGGATTATCCGCTTGGAATTCCGTGAGAACGAGAACGCGGCTATTATGGAACACGTGTATGCAGGAACTCTATACTTTTGCGAAGTATACAGCGCGCAACTTTCAGTGCTCTATGTATATTTTGATAATTCGGCAAGTTGTCGCTGTACTTTACGCTAGGCAAAATTTCACAATAGCAATGTTACGTTAGTAAATTCAACCTTGTCGATTGTGACGTATAAATATATTTATTATTATTATTAAAGCTTTAATATTTTATGAATATTTTAATCTACATATGTTCAAATGAAGGAAGTTTATTACAAGTCGCAAAAATCGCGAAAAAGCATACCTTTACATACGCAGAGTGTTTAACAAAAGAGATTATCGCAATTTTGGGAGAATTTTGCATATTCTGCTTGTTTTGCGGAACTTAAGGAAGGTTTCATCTTCGCCGGCCGTAAAATTAGCCCTTGTTTTATGAACAGCAAAAAAATATTTTTTATTTATATAAAAATGTATCTTAATGCCTTTAAGTGGCGATTGAATATGGCATGTTTTCGAGCTGATGAAAGTCATTACGAAAAAAACGAATCAAGATATCGACTTGATTCTTTTTTTCTCTTGATCCTAATACTTTAACGCATGTCATGAACTAAAATGATGCCAATTGCCTGAAATTTGTAAAAATGGTAGCATTAAAAAAAAAAATTTTTTTTGTCCTAAAAATTTTTTCAATTTTTTTTAATAACAAATTGAATGTTTGTTGTCAAATCATGATTTTAGTTCACGTCATGTTAAAGTATTAGGATATATTAGGATCAAGAGGCAAAAAGAATTAAGTCGATATCTTAATTCTTCGTAATTATTATACTTCCGTTAGCTCAAAAAACCACACTCAATCGCCATTTGGAGGCATTAAAATACATTTTTATATAAATAAAAATATTTTGTTGCTATTCAAATAATATACAAGTTTATGCAAAAACCCGCGTTTTACTGTATATAATAGATTTCCTTTAAAAAATTTATAAAACAAGGGCTAATTTTACAGCCGACAAAGGTGAAATCCCCCTTAATGAATCTTTTCGGACCTTAAACGCTATGCTAATTAAAGTTTACCCGAATTAACATCGTCGGTAATTAACACCGTTGGTAGCTAATGCTTATGTAAATTATTTGTCTTAACTGCAAATTGATCTTCATATTAACGTGACAGGCACTAAACTCGGAGTTTAATATACAAGTATAATAAATTAAATTATCATTAATTTATCTTGATTAACAATTTCAATCAGTATTTAATTAGTATTTAAGAAATTAAAAATTCTAAAATAATTTGAGAAAAGAGTGTATATTAAATTCGTCTTTAAAATAAATCTTAACAACTTTTAAGATTCATCTTTTAATTTTCATCTCGCCATCATTTTAAAATACTTTTTTGTGCTGTGAATTTTGTATTATATTTAATCTTGCAATATTATTACTGCACGATTCCTTTCCAGTAATCCATTTTACTATCATTATTTGTTGTTCTAATATCTGTGTGCGATGTATATCGTATACATTTTTCACTGACGCAGTTAGCCGTTCAGAAAGAATTTATTCAAGAGCATGATAAATATTGTCTCTCGCCGTCAACGTCAATGGTACCGAATTTCGCCGCTCTCTCTCTCTCTCTCTCTCTCTTGTTGCTCTTTCGACGATTCGTCCTATGTGCACGATGGGGCACAAGGTGGAACGCGAAGGACGCGAAAAATCGAGTGTAACCCGCCGGGAATGCAAATAAAGTGCAATAAATAGAGCGCCGTCGCGATTGCACGGGAGCGGCCCGACACGACGCGGTGTTGCATTACCAGCCGCATTCCCTTCCCGCACGAATCTCGCACAGCGTATACGCTCTCCTACGCCGGCCACGAAACCGTCGGCACGAACCCGTCGTTACTCGTGCACGATGGCTTCGCTTAAGCTCGGTCTATGTTCCCTAAACGAAACAGCAATCGTACGTGACGATCAATAGCAAGCTATTGGATTTTCCAGTTCCGAATACCGCTCCGGAGCCTATCGCGCGACGAAAGAAAATAAAGATTAAAGGGAAAGTAATTAAAAGTTAAGACACATTACTTCTCTGAGTATATAGGCTAAAAAAACACGTTTCTTTCTGGCATGAAAAGACAAAATTATGTAGTTGAAGTTCGGAGCGCAAATTAAAATGTGATTTGTGCTAAAAAGTACAAATGCGGGAATAATTTCTAAGACCACTGCGAGAAAAAAAAATAGTTTGTTTAGACTCGAGGTGTGGAAGTGCTTCGTTCAACCGGAAGGAGCAGCGCACATGTGCATGTAAGCGATTAAAAATTATTATTCGCCCTTGTGGCGTTTTGTAATATGATTATATCGGAAATAGAGATAGCAGGAAAGTACATAGCGTTTATTAAATGTTCTCATTTATTCAATAGGATTAAAATACTTCCAAAGAAAGTTGAATTACTTTTTAACAAATTTAATTTTCTGTGCTCTCTTACGTTCTTAACTACATTTTCTTCTTTTAATGAATATTGGACAATGAACTTTATTTCTAATGCCTCATTATAAAAATAGAAGACGGTAATAAATGTAATATTTAGTATCTCTTTTAGAATTCTTAATAAATCATACGAAAATATTAGTTTAGAACAAATAAATATGGAATCCCTTTAATTGATCAATTGATTACCCGTTTATAATGTATAGCAGGATTGATTATGGTCCTTCAAAGACATGCATGAAAAATGCTTATCTTGCCACAGATCAAATAGACGGATTAACTGGAGCAGCAAGAGAACAAGTGGCATGTTTGCAATCAAGAAACTTGACTTTCACCCCGAAAACCGCCTCCTTTCCTAATTTAAATCTTCACCAAAGAGAGAGGTAAACATTCTCTCTCTGTCGTCGGGAGAACCACGAAATTCAGTGGAAAAGTCGGTCATTGCCCGACAACGGCGAAGAGCGAAGTTGTTTTGCAAGGTCTCGATTAATGGGGCGGCCATTATTTGCTTGCGAAACAAAGAGGGCTCGTCTTCAGTGTGATCCGATTAAAGGAGAGGGTCAAGAGGGACGGAGAGAATCTCCGTTTCCTCCCATCTCGCGTTTTCGTTGCGAAAAGCCCGTTTAAACGAGCGCCTTTACGTCACCGTCCACCTATCTCTGGCGAGGTCGTCCCGGCCGGATCCGCAGCTGCGATGGGATTACGAAATCCGTGTTAATAGCGCGTGAGTCAATAAAAGCGCCTAGGTTATCCGGGAAGCCGTAATAAGGGCGACTCTAATCGATACGATTGTGTTCGCGCGCGGACGGACACGCGTTTACACACGTCAGTACCAGGAATGTCGTTCTCGAAAGACCCGCATGAGATCAGCACCTGCGAAATCCTCGAGATAGAAGATGTACTAGTTTTAAAAACTTTAACCTGTCACAAATTTCAATAAAAGAATAATTTATCGTAGAAAATTATTCGTACATTTGATATAAATTAAAACGGAGATATAAATTATTTCTTTCTCTCTAAGCTTGTGTCAATGTCATTTAACACTATATTAAAAAAAAACTTTGTGTTAAATGCCAAAAAAATGCTTCAATAAGAAAGCGTCGCTATTGTTTAAACATCATGCCGACGATAACTAGAAAATCTTTATCCACTTGTGATTTATAACGATAAGTTTAACGTTTGCAATCTAAAATGACTTTTGCTAAGAACTCTTTCAATTTTCCTTTACGTGCAAAATATTTCATTTCTTTTCGACGTGTTTCATCCTCTTTCTTTCATCACGCGAACTTTCTCTGTTGTAACCAACACAGGACCGCTGTTATCCGAAAAGACCCTTACTGCTCTGGTCCCCGGCATTCGATGCACCGTAAAACCGTCCGTGACAGCAAAGCCGGAAAGTTACGAGCTCGGAAATAATTTGATAAAGTCCGAGACCCGGGTCGGGTCGACGGTTCAGTCAGATAAATCAGCGTAACTGGCAGGAGCGATACCTTGAAGAAGATCCCCAGGTAGTATCTCTTCTCGCCCAGCTTCAGTAAAGGCATCGTCCATCTTGAAGCCGCCAAGCTGCTGCTATGTTCGTCCACGCAGTTTGGACAGTCGTCTGGAAAGAAAATGGAAAGGCTATTAATATCGATACGTATATTTAAGCAGAATGGATGATAAAAGAGGTAGAGAGGAGAGAGAGAGAGAGAGAGAGAGAGAGTACATTCTTTTCTCGTAATTTCTCCTGGCAATATAGAGGATCCGCACATTTAAAAAATCTTGTCTGTATATGCTTAAAATAAAGATTGAAAGATTTGTAAAAAAGGATACATATCTTTCTGTCAAATAAGTAACAGTTTCATTTAAATGGCTTGTTAAGAAAATTATTTAAAAATCCGAAATTAATTGCAAAAATATCAAAATATAATTTAACTCTATAATATTAATAATTAATAATATCTTACATTCTTTTATAAATTTCTAAGCTTTTAAAATTTTTTGAGATAATACATTGCATATCTTAACAGTAACAATTAAAAAAAAATGACGTGTTGTCTTATAATAATATTTACGTAAATTCTGACATCTATAAGTTAAAATTGTTACAATGCTTCGGATTGTCAGTATTTTGCAACACGTCAGCTTTCTAGAATTCCTTTTTCGTATTTGTAATTAATGACTCATAATCCTGACTGATTATTAGCATCCTTCTTTAAAATGTGCCTACTTCAAAAATTTCTCCAAACACTGTCTTTCTCACAGACATTCCACTACCAACAAAACATATCAACAAGATATCCTTTTTCTCGAAGAAGATATTTATCATCTTATATTGCTTAACTACTTCCCAAGTCATACAATGGAATTGAACGAATCATCACAAATTGAATATATTATCGATAAATAACTATTAATAATAGAATTATAAAATAAATTTAAAGAAATAAAATATTTAAAATATATGTATTAGTATTATTTATTAACATAAAACTTTCAAAATATACTAAAAATAGCAAAAAAAAAATTATTTTTTTATTACATTCAAACGTTTCTCAGAAATGCAGGTTCTAGACGAAATTCTTAATTTTTTATTCCTAATATACATATATTTATAATACATCTATAAATTTCTAATCTATTTATAAAAATGTATTTCATAAAAATAAGAACGGCGTCTGCGAATAATACATAAATTTTTATAAGTTTAACATAATCCACGATTAAAGAATTAAATATTGGTACGTCATTGGAGCAAATACAATTATTTACTTCAAGAATAATAATAAGATGCTCCATCATAATGTAAACCGAATTAATTCGCGTCAATCTAACTCGCGTCTAATTTATGGAGAGAAACAGAAAGCATAAAGTGAAATTTCACAACGGCCTTTTCTCCGATTGCCGTTGGTATCTTTTTAATCAGCAGTGCAATCGGTTTCTCCGACTATCGCCTATATTAGGAGAGCGTAGCAATTGCGACTGAGGACCTCAGCAATTGCAATTATGCAACGCGGAAGAAATCGCACATGCATTTACGTGCATGTGTACACATGCATGATTGTGCGGCTGTCTCGCGTGCGTCTTCACGCACAACGTCGTCAAATGTTAATTCGCAATAAAAATACTGTGCGTATTTGTCGAAGTACAAAAACGAAAGTCAATTAGGATAAAGTATGATTTATTTACATATTTTCAATGGTATGCTGATTATGCTGCTATGCGGAAATAATCGCGCTACCTTTTCTGGGAAAGTATGGACATTCACATGTATGTAGATGTATGTATGTCACGGATGATTGCAATAAGACCGTTACAATATCGTTAAAAAGGTCTAATACTGTCAATATAAAAAAAATATTTAATTTTCATAATAATTATTATTGATTTATGCAAGTATAATTATCAATGCAACGTATAAATTTTAAAGATTTCTCTTAAAATATTTTTACATAAATATCATTGTAGACATATTATACATGCATACTGCTTTTTCCTAATATACATAAATTAATTTCATCAAATTTGCTAATGTTGTAACGTGCGAATAAACATGCAAAAGAGTAAATAATAAAAGATAGCAACTAGCCTACCTCAATCAATTTACAGCTGAATAAATTATATGGAACAACAAAATCTCACTCTATTACAGTATTACGTAAAGAGTTTCAAGCATTCTAGTAACCTTGATCAAACAAACGCGATTTATGAAGATACAAGGCATGCTTTGTGTCCACCACATGACGTCGGCCGCTTTCACCGGCTCGCACGCACTTCTCGGCCTGACGCGATCCCATTCGAAAGTTGTCTCGCAACTCGACTGCCGAGAGATGGGTCAAAGCAAAATGCAAAACGATATTTTTTCAACGACTGCGGGCGATGATGATCGAAAATGATTAATAACGTGCGCGCAGCAGTAGCCGCCGTTGCAGGCAGGCCCCGGCCTTTGCGCCGCGTCGAAGCGGCCGCATAATGCGACAACGGCGATATCACACGTTTTACACATGGAACCGAGAATCACCGAGAATCACGGAAGTCTCTGTAGCAGGAGGATGTGTGCGATACCTCGCGTTCATTTGCTTTGCCGCGTTCTATGCAGTAAGACTGAGTTACAACGGGTTACACGAGCAGTTGCGTAAACTGCCAGTTCTCGCTGCACGTCTCGCCCGGCGCGACGTGGGGCGACGTGAAATTTCGGCGATGATTCTGTCTGTTCTATTTACGGTGCGACGCCAGGATTTCTCCGACGTGGCTCGTTCGTTATATAGCGTGCGTGCATGCATGCGTGCCCTGCGTCGTCGCAGCGTTAATTGTCGCGGTAAATGAAGCGCACTTTCGCATAAGTATAGCCGGGACTAGCTTTTTTTCGCACTTTCGCGCGAGGTCACTTTTTCTGCTCTTTTAACGCCCGTTGCGTTATATAATCTCGCCCGTTGTTAACAAAATCTGTTGTTATTCCTCCCTTCGCATTTTGTGCGTGTTGTACATAAAACGCGCGAGGTTGTAACATCAGCGCCCGCATTACGAGGAGAAACAGATTAGCACCTACGTTTTTTATCGTTTGTTATCGACAGACTGAGAAAAAATAACTGACATCTTTTTATTTCTGTATGATAGATGGTGTATAAAGTATTTTTTTGAAAAACAATGACTAATTTATACATGAGCTGTAGGTATTGATTAATAATATAATAAAATAGCAAAATAATAAAATACGTAATAACTACATACATTGATATAATTTTATAATCAACGAGTCAGCTTTATGTATAACCTTAGAAAATCTTAGTTTACTAATCTTTTTTGTAATATATGTCTAACGCATAAATCTTAAGACTGTCTCTTTTATATCGCGGTACTTCATAAAATTTTTAAATTTCCTAAAATACTTATGTTTTATTCTCGCTGAGATTTTACAATTTTAATCTGAAAAATCTCTTAAATTCCCATCGTTAAGTCTTTCGATGTAAAAACTATTATCATAAAAAGTAAATCTATAAAAAACAACGATAAAACAGCGTTCGAGTCAACTCGATTCATCGCGCAAATTGAGCGAGGTAATACGGCGAAATTGCGTCGTGCTAAAGTTCGCGACCTTTGTAAAACTGAAGAAGATGGCAAGCAGAGTAGACGACTTCTTGGTTTCATCGGCGGGCTAATTAGACCGGCGTACTGCATATTTTAATAATCGCCTCGTTAATCTCCGCGCCGCGGCGTCAGAAAACATTTCGTCGCGTTAATATTCAGCGGACTTCTTAATAGACACCTCCGACTTTTGCTTCCTGTTCCACTTTTTGGTTCCACAACATCGCTTCTCGTCACGTAGATTACAAGATGGAAAAAAGATAAATTACTTCCATTAGAGGAGCCATTAACGGATCTCGAGCTACCGCAACTTTTATTATTCGAGTTTTGATATAATTACAGCTTAAGTTCTCTGATATCGATGATGGTGCATAAATTTTTTTAGAGCGTTTTGTAAATGCAGGATTAATAATGGAAAAAAATAGTTGTTTTTAATGTAACTATCGTTAAAAACTAAACTCAAGTTTGAATTTTTCGACTGTTACAAGATTCTCAATAGAAACATTAATATCCATAAAATTCAAGTATAAAATTCGTGTAAATGATATTTAAAGAAAGTGTTATATATGGATATATTTTTTTCGTATTAAAATTATAAATTCTCAGTGAGAATAAAACATAAGTATTCTAGGGAATTTAAAAATTTTATGACATGCCGAGATATAAAAGAGATAATCTCTTAATATTAAACATATTTTTATTTATTTATTTATTTATTTATATGTCTCGCGATATACAATAATGGGTAATCCACCGTAAGTACAATAAGAGCTGTTTTTTTGAATAATGGGAGAGAAAGCATAATTTTATGGCGTAATTAAGTATACCCTCCGGTACTATGAAAAACCCGGCAAAATTAGAGGGATTTAGATAACACTGTCCACGCCACTGTTTGTTCTACAATGCACGCGTTCTGCTAAATCCGTTGCTAGAATTTACAAATCCGCCAGCGGCCATTACTAAACTTAATACACGTCGCAATGTACAACAGTGTGCTGTTATGCCTGTTCCGCGTATCTAGAAAAACGTTGGATGCGAAAATTTGAACAAATTCAAACTTTAAACCGGCGAATTGTTAGCGCAAATAAAAAAAAATTGGTCTTATTGTGCATGTCAAGCTTTTATATTTAGTTAAATAATTGACGGAAAAATAAAAAAAGTAAATTTTTAACTTTTGTACTAATTATTATTATTATTATAAATAATAATTAGTACAAAAGCTCTCAATATTTTCGCGCAATAAAATTTTTAAAAAATCAATCAACCAGATAAGCATCAGCATTTTAAATAAATCATTAATCACTGTTGGATATATTAGTCTAATAATTAATATATTTTATAAAGAATATTGAAGAATATTGAATGCGTAATTTTGCACGTCTCATTAGCGCGATACAACGCTTCGATAGCGCACAGATCAATCAATCAATCACTTTTGAAACTTGCTGACTTTGAAAACGTAACGACCGATTATTTTAAGCTCACAATCAAGGAAGTAAATGATCCTTCGGCTCTTAAAATGTCGGATTTTATCGA